TCAAGCCTTGAAATTGACGTAGCGCGAGAATTCTGGTCTTCTAGCGACAGACTCGCCGTTTTCAAACTCAACAATAGTTTAGTTTATTGATTATGTGGTTTCTTTCCCTGGGGGGTTTTTTTTCCTTTTTTTACTCGGATACATTTTGACATGAATTAAAACAATTGTTAAGATAAAATTAAAAAAAAAGATATATATCCAGAAAAAGAAATATTAATAGTTCATAGGAGGACATTCGTCTGATTGACTGATGTAAATCAATTGCCCGGGCACTTATTTATACTCCTTAAAGTACTTTTGGGAACACAACGTTTCACTAATAAAAAATCACCACAATAGCCATTTTTCGCTTCGAAAGAAAGTTTATATCCACTATGCAAAAATAATCAGTAATAATCAGTGTCCCCATGAACTTTACTTAGAAGGCAAAATATACCTACCGCTTATTGTAGGGTGAAGGAAATATACCTACCGCTTATTGTAGGGTGAAGGTAACCAGAAATGTTTTCGTCTAAAACTATTTTATTGCGTTAGATTTAAATAAGCTTTTATTTCTAACTGTTTAATTTGAATAGGTAAAAACTCTTTAACAAGAAGAGCTCATCAACTGTAAATCAATAGTTAAAGTTTTAATAAGTTTAATTTTATCTTATATGGTATATTCTTCGATAGTTTGGGTTTATTAGTAATGAGTATCTTATTTGCTCGCTTTAGGCTAAAGATGCCTGACGAATGACGACACTTTCGTCATTGACGAATGACAAACCATTCGTCAAGCAATTTATGAATGACTATTCGAGATACAAACTAGTTATTTATCATGATGTAATGTATTTTTATTTATTTGTAAAAATAACTATAAATATATTTATGATTTGTCTAAAAAAATCAATCCAGTTTATTTATAAAAATAATCATAGAAAAAAAAACCCAGCTATTATAAGCTATTTTCTTAAATTAACTACAAATAATCAGGTTAGTTCTAAAATATAAAATGTATGAAATATCCCAGAAATACTTATTTATTAGGAGTAAGATATAATTAATATCTAATTATTTTCAGATTGCATTCAACAAACAGGAATATTTTTAGAATGTAACTTAGTTAATAAATCAGAATATTTCTAATATTAATCTGGAACTAATAGTAATAATTATTATTATCATTATAACTATTATAATTATCATTCTCATTATAATTATTATAATTATCATTCTCATTATAATTATTATAATTATCATTCTCATTATAATTATTATAATTATTATTATCATTATAATTATTATAATTATTATTATCATTATAATTATTATAATTATTATAAGAAGCCGTAAAGTTCTGATTAGCTTTTACGATTTGGAAACCTACTTCGGTACTAACAACAATTGTACCAACGAAAGTGATTTGACCAACATCCATTGGCGGAGGTCTCCACTTAAATTTGATACCAGGTTGCTTTTCTGTTGGACCTTTTAACATTTAATAAAATTTTTAATAAAAGAATTGTAACATACGTTAAATGAAGAAAAAAAAAAAAAACATACAATTATGGGTGAGTGTTCCTTTTGGATCGCCGGTACAATTTTTTTTAAATTTGAAACCATGTCGAAGAATCCATTGACCAACATGATTTTTAGAAGAATCTATAGCATATAATAAGACACCTTTGAAAGGTTTTTTTCCAGTAATTTGAATGCGAACTGGTGGACCATTTGGAATATATTGATTGTTCTTCATTCGAACGTTAAGGCCATAACCTAAAGAGTCATCGAGCCTACCCATAGGTTGATATGGTACACCTTCGATAATCGTTTGATTTGAAAGACAAGTACCAGCCCCATTAGGAAATGCAGAAGTGATGGCTACGAATACTAAAAAGAGAGTATAAAGTAATAAATGCATAATAGATGTTTTGGATTTTTTTTTTTCCTATGTTAAAAAATGAAATAAGCTGTCAACCTGCGATAGCTTATGAAAGTTGTAAGATGGGAAGAAAGTGAGGTTTATCCTAAATTTAAACTGTTGTCATTTTTTTTGCTATTTATATGTAAAAATTCATTACTATCATATATGGGCTAGGCCTTTAAGAATTTTACAGCGTAACATTAAGAAAGTAATATCACTAAAATGAAACATTCAATGTCATCCTTATACCATACAAAATATTTTACGTACTACTGCCAGACCTCCTCAAATACAACTTATTGTGACCAAACTTCATATGGACGAAAATTTTTGATGGGAATGTTGTGATTAATACATAATGATTTATTAATGATTTATACATAAATATTATGCGACTTCATAACAATTTCATGGTCAATTTACAGCTAAAGAAATCAATTGACCAATTAAATACGATGGTGATTTATAATTATTATGTGGTTTCAGAAACAGTTTCGTAAGCAATTCATAATCGGATTATAGCTAAGGCAAATAATTAACCAAACAAATATAACTTTATAATTCAATTTTACAGGAGATCATGCAATTCAATTCTATTCTACCTGAGATCATGCAATATTATATAAATGATTGGATTAAATTTTATGAAATATCATCATTAATTTTTAATTGTCACCAAAATCAAAAAAATCCACTTATATGGTTAAGTACATGCATTTGGAGAATAATAGAAAAATTTGCATTTATGGAGGTCAGGAATATTTAGGCCAGAGCTTAAGATTGCATTTCTGCATTTAGAGATGCTACATTTAGGGGAGTTTCATTTAGGGAGGTACAAAATAATTATCGTTATAATAATAAATTATGATTATCCTATTTAGTTTTTGTGCAACAGATTGAATCCTGTTATTAGTTTTTAACGCAGTAAATCATTGCTCATTAATGCAGTTAAAATATTGCTTATATTTTGTGGTAAAGTTTTAGATCTTATTTTAGGTTAGTTCGGATTCGTATGATTATGATTTGGAGAGTTGTCTATTCTAAGTTTAGTATAGGTAAGTTACACAGTAAATAATCCGTTTTGTATCACATAATTAATATTAATGCTTTCTCAATCGATCGATAGATCGAGTCTTCAGGAGCATAGCGTAAAAATTTTAAAGAACCAAAAGACTAATATTAAATGCTATTTGGCTCTTCAGACTTATATACTATATATGTAATGTGTCATTTATTAATTTCTATCAATTTGAAATCAATAAATAATGTATGTACGTATGTTGTTTTGGAATCGTACAAGCTTTACCAGTGTACAAATTTTTAGGGTGATACAATATGCTTTTTTTCTGGTAGTGTTTTTTTATCTGAAACTTAGAAACCACAGACAGAAGTAGTATTATCAAACTATTAATCCTTTTACGGTGCTGCACATTGAAAGTTCACATAGCCGACATCACATAGGGTTAGGGTTAACGTTCTATTAGTTGCAGGTATATATTTTTAGTAAGTAGTTACTTGGCATAATTCATGTATAATGAACTTAAATATGTGTTCTCATTGACAATCTATCAAAAGAAAAATTCTCATAAAAAACATTTTAAGTAGTATAAATAATTTATTATATTTCGCTTACAGTACATTACGAATTAGTCTAGTGATTAAAGAAATTTTAGGAGTTATCATCAAATTAAGTATCTTACGGCCTTTGACGATCATTTCATCTGTCGTAAAAAATTTGACGAAAAAAAATTATTGCATATCAAGAAACGGGCTAACAAACCTGGAGAAGAAATTTAATAAGTCTGAAGAGACAAATAGTGTATAAGATTGGACATTCGGCCTTTTTAATTTTTTACGTTAAGCTCCTGCTCTTATTCTTGCTCTTAATACACGATCCTTCGATTGATCGATCCAGCATTAATAATCATTTATTTTATTTACTTATTACTGTATTATGTGTTATACAAATTTTATTTCTTGTGCAGCTTACATAATCATACTACGTAATTTAAACAAACCCAAATGAGTTTAAAAGCTATACCATAATATGGGCAATGTTTAACTGCTTTAAATACGTAGTTGATTAAATAATGATCGGTTATAGCCGGTTATGACCGACCGGACTAGTGCTCCGAACGGGTCGGCTTGAAAATTTTCGTGTTAGAACCTCAACCCGAACCGAACCTGACCCGAAATTTTAGGCTAATATATTAAATTTTTTTAAAAAAATGAATTCAATCGCCCTATTTGCTCTTAAACGATTAATAATTCATGTAACGATGATCATCAAAGTTGGCTAATCAAATCTAAGCGCGGTATGCTCATAAACTCAGCGGGCTACTATAGTACGAATCGTGCATTGCATTTTTAGAATCAATGGTAGTTTTTTTTATTTTTATCTTATGGATTTATGAAATTAATATAAAAAAAGTTTACTGAATTTGCTGTCGAGTAATTTGTTCGAAGTTAAAAAGAATTTAGGCGAATATTAAAACAAAGTCAGCAGTTAAGTTTTTTCAACTTAGATAGGTAATTGTTGAGATATTTTAGTTCAAAGTTCGAAAAAAGTATATTTCTAACCCGAACCCGACCCGACCCAATTTGGAGCACTAGACCGGACCCATCCCTGGTCTCTAATACTCGATCGAAAGTGCAGTGCAGCGATAACTTCAGTGTAATACATAAATAAATAAATAAATAAAAAGTGCAGTAGTTTATTACATTAAAGGTTTTCTCAAGAACTTCAATTAATCAATCAAAAGTTTTAATTAACGAAAATTGAATAAAAATCAAGCGAGTTATCACCTCAATGAATAAAGTCTGGACTAGTGTTATAAGGCGAAATCTACTTCCAAAGTGGCGAAAAACGAAACCCAAGTCCAAAAAAGATGAAAGTTGAAACCTGACGTAACGTCGAAACCTTGCGAAACATGAAGCCTTGACGAAACTCTATATTAAGAAAAGTGACTCCGTGATCTCCATGCCACGCGGATTAAATTATACTATACAAACAACGGTAAATTTTTTTTCAGGCTCAGAAACATATGAACGTACACTTTTTATGACATATACACTAAGCTTCGTGAATATTCAACTAAAATAGTGGTCGTACCCGGATAACTCTTTATCCGAAAGGGTATACCCTTTAATAAAATCCAATAACCGGTTTTATATC